GCAGAGTTCGTGGCAGGCGCAGTACTTTGTGAACCTCGATGCGCAGATTTCGTGGCAGGCGCGGTACATTGTGAACTTCGAAATGCTCCTATGTACTTGCCTGTGTGCTCTCAGATTTGTGCTTGTATGTGCTCTCACATTTGTGCTCTCAGATGTGTGCTCTCATGTGCTCTCATATGTGCTCCCATATGCTCTCATATGTGTGCTCGTGAATCTCGATGTGCAGATGTTCTTGAAGGGTTTTGAATTTCAATGAACTTGCCGTTTTGGAAGTTGTTGGCTCGACCACCACCGTCAGCGCCACCTTCACCACCACCAGTACCATGACCAGCACCACTACCTCCACCGCCACCACTTTTATAGATATTAGGACAAACCACCTGGCCAGCCATGGCCGCCGTCACCTTCGCAGTTTTACTGGGCGCTGTATCCGCGTCTGTGCGTAGTGACTTGGAGCATCTGGGGTCGTGCGTTGTCACTGATGCGCTTGTGGTTGCACAGTGCAAGGCCTTGTTGCAGGGTCTCAATTCCAACACAAAGGGCCTTCGTGAAGCCTGCCAGACTGCAGATATCCGTGGAAAACGAAATGGAATGCGTTTGAACCAGGAGGAACTCCGGGAACTCGTCAAGACAAAGCTTTTGAATTTGTTGCCACCCGTGAAGTTTCAAGCGTTGCTCCAATATGCATCGTTGGAGACGCACGTTGAGCTTCGTTCCTTTGGTGACGTCTTTGCGGCAGCGCAGGAAGCTGGAAGGATCAAAGAACTCTTGCTTGTTTTGGGGCCTGGTCAGACCAGCCAATCAAGATGCAGGGCTGTTTTCCGTGATTGGGGCGTGGCGCGGCGCGTTGCCGGTAGAGGTACCGAGCGCTCGGTCGATGCAGCAAAGTCAGAACTGATGGGTGTATGTATACGTTTTTTGAAAGAATGCGAACACACTCCCGATGGGCGTGCTGCATCCTTGTCTGGGCCACCCGACCGGGGGCCAACCAGTCTCGCGGAGGCCGTGGCGTTGCTGCAGTGCAATCGTGCTGTGCCTCTCAAGCGCGCAGTGGGCAAGAGACAGGCTTTGTCTGTGGCGCCTGTCGAGCTCAGCCAATTGTTGGAAGGGTTGCACAGTGGGACAGTGACGAAGAAAGAGCAGGTTCCTTCTATGTTAGTGGCCGGTTGCAAGGCACACAGGAAGCATGCTGGTCGGGTTGTCCGCCCGGGGCCGGAGTTTGCCACGCGAGAGGCACACCGAGGAGCTGTGGAGCGTTTCCGAAGCCATTTGCAGCTTGATCCGCAATGTTGGAGTGCCTGTGCAGTGGTGAACATGCGGACTCCCCAGAGTCTGGATGCCTTTGTGTGCACTTTGAAGGATCCCTTACACAGAACAGCCACGCCCTTTGCGAAAGACTTTCGCGATGTGCGCATCCCGTCCAACTGGGATGGACAGCACGTGCTTCGACGCATGGCAGCCATGGAGTTGCAGAATGCGTCTGCGGTTGCGCGGCGAGAGGCATTGCCACTTTTGGATGGACCTTTGGTGGCGGAGATCATGGCGCTGCGAGGTGACGTAGATGGCCGCAAACCAGTGGAGAGTTTTGATTTGTTGGTCGCAGCTTTGAAAGATGCGCAATGCAGCATGCCTGACCAACCGGCCTGGTTTCAGAGTGCCTGGGGTGTGAAAGAGCCGGAGCAACTACATGCCCTTGCGCAAGACTTTGATACATTTCTGACGAAGCATGACCTTCGGGATCTGTGGACGGAGGCATCTTTGGGTACTGCTATGGTGTGGGTGGGCTGGTTTGGCATATTGCAGCATCGGGATCAAAGAAAGGCAAAGGTAGAGGAATGGGTCTCGGAAAGCCGTGGTCTGTTCAAAAGTCCGCCTGCCCAGTATGTATTGTCAACTCGAATGGATACCTATGCTTTCCCACCGTTTTTCAAAACCGATGCAGAGTCCATGTATGGTGTGGCAGGTGGAGCAGAGTTGCCAAAAGGGTTGTTGCCTATTTTGACAGCTCCTCGAGTGTGTGAACTGTGTGGAGATGGATTTGTGAATTGGACAGATCTGTCTGCGCACGTGGACCAGGCGCATGTGAACTGGGCAGAGTACCGTAAGCGCGTCTTTTGGCATGCGCAGCATGAGGAAGCTGCTCCTTGTCATGGTTTGCCAATGTCTTGGGCCCGCAAAAGACGCATCCTTGGAAACGCAACCGCCCAACTGGTCAGCGTAGCCAGCCAACCGTTAGGGGATGAGTCTGTTTCAGCAGCAGTGAGAACTGCAGAGCCTCGAGCCCCCGAGCGCGAACCTCGTGCCATGGTGGGATGCGCTGTGTGCGCAACGAAGGAATGGACCGAGCGGATGCGCCGGTGCTACATGTTTCGCACTTTGCCTTTGGGGAAAGAGGTGCGGGAGGAGATGGACGAGGAGGAAGCAGCTGAGGCTCAAGCTGGTTCGGCAGATGAGCAGGCGGGTCGTCGGCGGAGCAACTTGCTTCGAGATAAGCACGGTCTGTATTATTTTGGACCAGCCGAAGAAATTCAACAGCTTTTGGGAGTGGACAAATACGCAGAGCGGTGGCCGAAGATTCCAGTTGCCGAACTACACGCGAGTTCGGTGCAACATCCGGATCGCCCTGGCTACCGGTGGCTGTTGCACACACGCAGGGTACCTTTGCGGAAAAAGGCAGAGTCTGCGGTTGCGCGCGCAGAGGCTAGCGTCGCGGATGCGCACGCGGAAGGTGAAGCTGCGGTTGCGCGCGAGGATGGTTCCCGGGATACAGCTGTGGAAGGGCATCCGCCTTGCGCTGGCATCGGGGACAGTAACGGCACGGTGTTCCTTTGTCGGTGGTGTTGTCACAGCTTGTGTCACCGGAAACCCACGCTTCCCAAGCGAGCGCTTGCCAATGACCTGTGGGGAGGCCGCGAGCATCCGCTTTACCAGAAGCTTCGGGACTTGCCGGCTGCACGGATGCTTCTTGGACAAGCTCGGGTACTTTACAGGAAGGTAGTGTTGAACCACAAGCATGGAAGAGATGCGTGTGAGTTGCAACATGGCTTGCAAGGCAATACCACTTTCATAGCGCAGCCGCGAACTTCAGCCGTGGGGAAGTCCTTGCCGCCTTGCATGGAGGACGTGGGTCAACAGTTGCAGGTTATTTTTTTCTGTATCCCGCACCGACGTAGCCAGAGCGAAACCACTGTTGGTGCCACGTTCCCTTTACCTCGAATGCGCTCGTCTTCGACAACAGCTTTGTCCGTTGTTTCATGACGTGGAAATCGATGTAGCACGAGCACAGGTTGACCTGAAGGAGGATGAGGCGCCCCCGGGAATTGTATCTGCTGCTGTGCGCATGGAGGAAGCCAACATGTTTCGACCGAATTTGACAGGTCCGGCTAGCTCGCGAGCAGCGGACACGGCAGCGAGGTCGCGGGAAGATGAAATTGTAGAAGCTGACTTGTTGGATGAAGAGCCGGAAAAGTTGGATGCAGAGGCAGAGGGTGAAGAGTCCTGTGCGGCTGCGCAAGGAGAAGCGGGGAAAGCTCCGGTGGAAGAAGCAGAGAACCTCATTGGACTTGATGAGGCCGCGGACAACGATCCTCTGCAGCATTACGTCGTCCTACAGGAGCAAATTCGACGTATACAGGAGGACCAAGCTCGCATTCAGAGGAAGGAAGCCCTTAGCTTCCGAGAAGCTTTGTTTTCTATCTGCCAGCTAGTTTTTTTGGCTCCCACCCTCCTGGAAGCCAGTTTTGGAAGCCCATTTTTTTGACTGCCAGCTGGTTTTTTTGTCTGGCAGCTTGTTTTTTTAGCTTCTGAAAACTGTCTGCCAGCTACTTTTTTTAGCTTCTGACAAAAAAACAAGCTTCCAGTATTTTTTAATGTTAGCACTCCAGAAGCCAAAATTTTTGGCTTCTAGAAGCTTGTTTTTTTGGCTTCTAGAAGCTTGTTTTTTTGGCTTCTAGAAATTTGGTTTTTGGCTTCTAGAAGCTTGTTTTTTAGCTTCTGGAAATGGTAGCTCATTAACAAACTAAAAAGAATATATATATATATAGATATATATTTACTAACCATGTCATCAACCTAGCCCAAGCTCAAGAGCATAGATCTTTTTGGAAATGGCTCGTCTTTTGCCAGTGGAGCAGACCAAAGGCGATGGAAGAATGACAAAAATTGGTTGGCCTCATCTCTGGCTTTGTGCCGGATTGTAGCTTGGCAGATTTTCCCCTTGAGCCAGACATGGCTATTTCAAAGCAAGCAACCTTTTTGTCTGTCTGGTTTGCTGAAAAGCCCACTAAGCCTGAAGCAAGGCTCTCTTTCCAAATTGCTTGCCCTAAAATGTCAAATTTGGACAGAGGTGAGATCGTTCAGCACTTGGTGCAATACAAGAGATGGCTGACCAAAAAAGCTAAAAATATGAAAAATGGAGAGAAGACAAGCCCTCCATTCCTCCAAGTGATGAAAGCCATGGGCTTGGCACCCATCGCCAGTGAACCCCAGCCTCAGCCTGAAAGAAGGCTAAAAAGGAAAACACACATGCCATCTGATTCTCTTATGGCCCCTGAACCAGCAATGGCTGCAATTCAAAAGCAAGACCCCCAGCCTGAAAATGACAAGGCAACAATTCAAAAGCAAGACTCCCAGCCTGGAAAGGCTCCAGCCACCAAATCAAACATTTTAATGCCTCAAGCAGCACAAAGTCCAAGGTGGAGAGCGAAAGCTCAGGCAGTGAAGAAAAGGAAGCTTTTGTGGTCAGCACACAGGAAGTTTCTTCCACTTCATCTGGTATAGTGACCCCTCAAAAGCTGAAACCCAAAAATGGGAAGAATTGCAGCTACAAAAGGCCTGCCAGCTGCATGACCCCCCAAAAAAAGCCAGCAATGGCTCCCAAGACTGCAAAAGTTACCAAGCCTGCAAAGCATGTGCACATGGCAACCCACAACACATGGGTAGCAAGCTGCAGCTTTGGCTAGGTAAAAAAGGGCAACTTCAAGGAGAAGGGCTACATCCGAGCCAGGGATGGCTCTGAATCCAAACCGTATTTTTTGGTGAATGTCAATTTACCAAAAGGAGCCCCTGATGTTTCATGGCAGGGCTTCTGCCAAAAGAAGAGCTCAAAGAAGAGAGTTGGAAAGGAAAGGTGAAGAAGTCCCTGAGGAGTTAAAGCCCAGGGTCCACAGTCTGAATAAGGCTCTCAAGAGGCAAATGTATGAATTGCATCGCAAAGCCAGGGAAATGGCCCAAGAAAAAGATCCAGCAAAGTTGGATGAATGGGAAAAGCAACAAGCAGACCGGCTAGCCATTGTTGCTAGGGAAGATGCAGAGAGGAGGGCCCAAGAGGCTTCCTCTGCCGAGGGGGGCACAAGAAAGAGCAAGGCTTCCAGCGCCAGTGATGGCAATGGCAGGGAGAGGTCGAAGAGTGTGGGGACAAGGTTAGGCAAAGATGGGAAACCAAGATGTGAGCACATGCCAGCAGATGGCACCCTCATTCAAGGTGGGGATGAGGAGGGGGAGGAGGATGAAGAAGATGATGGTGATGGAGTGCCTGATCAAGGCAAAAAGAAAAAGAACAGGAGGAGAAGCAAAACAGCCAGAGGGAAGAAGCAGCCAAAGGAAGAAAAGCCAGACAATGGCTCTCAGGAAAAGGATCCTAGTGGTGGAAAAGATGGTGATACTGGAGGTGCAGGGGCAGCAGAACCAGTTGCTGCTCCTTAAATGCCAGCAATGGCAACTTGCCAGCAATGGCACCCTGCCTGAAAAGGCATTCTACCAGCACTGCAGCTGAGAGTTTTGGAAAAAAAAGGTGCGCCTGCCTGCTTTCAGTGGTACTTCAAAAGGGATGTAAAAAGGAACTTTTGGAACTTTTGGACTATGGAACTTTTGGAACTTTCTCTTCCTAGATATTGTTTTCTTATATAAATCAAAAATTCCCAAAGTTCCGAAAGTTCCAAAAAGTTCCTGGTCACATTTTTCAACCCCACCCAAAAAAATCTGCAGCCATTTTTCTGACCTCAAGCTTTAAACAACTGGCCAGTGTCTGTAGCTAGATGGCAAAAAGAAAGGCTCCCGATGTGAAGGTGGAGCCACCAACCCCCAAGAAGAAAGCAATGGCAAAAGCAAAAGCAAAAGCCAGTGGCTCTGCCATTCCAGAGGCAACTCCTTCTGTAGCCTCTGAGGCAGCAGCTATGGAAGCCCCAAGTACTGAATCCAAGCCTGCAAAGGCTAGAGCAGTGAAGGATGGGGAGTTGCCTGCTCCTTCAAAAGATGCTTGGAAGGACATGCACCAGCAACTTGCCAGGAAAGCCAAGGCTGGAGACACAGCCCTCAAGACTGCCTGGGACAAGGCATGTGCCAATGGAAGCCAACAAGCCAAAAGAGAGTTTTACTACAACACTTTCCTTCTGGATGAATCTGCAGCCAGTCGCAGTGTACACAAACAAAGCCTGGAAAGGCTCAAAAGGACTGACAAAGTCATCGATGGTTAAGTACCAGATAGCCAAGTTGCAGGGTGCTGACCCACAAGACCCAGACTTCAACAAGCTGGCAGAAGCTGCAGTGCTGGGGTTGCCTGAGAGACCTCATGAGGTCAAAGCTTGGGCAGAGTGCCTGTACATGAATCAATCCACATTAGATGTTTGGTCCATGAATTTGCCATGCAGCCCAGCTTTCTCAGCTATGAGGATTCCTATCTGCTGCCTCGATACCAGAATGATAGCAGCAGAAACAATCCAAGCAATATGTGGAATTTTGTTTTGGAGCTTCGATTGCCTGAACAAAGGCACTTTTCCCACAGCCAGACATGATGGCTCACCCTGGCTGAAGCATGATGCCTACAGAAAATTTAGGGCAGGCGCAGCTCTGCCTGGGAAGGCAACCCTCATCCAAATTCGATCTGATTGGGATTGGAATTGTAAATACTTTGGAGCAGGCACTTGGAATGAGAAGAAAGGGAATTGCTGGCTGTGCCAAGCCACTCCAGACAACTGGAGGTAAATGAGCCAGAGCATGGCTAGGTTGGAGAAAACCATGGACAAGGATGCCTACTTGACTTTCCTCATGGATCGAGGTAAGTCAATCAATCCTTTGTTTCAATTGCCCAATGTCAGTAATGGCACCATCATGCCAGATTGGATGCATGTTTGTGATGAGGGCAGTTTTGCTGTGGCAGCAGGGCAAATTCTGAAAGAATTACTGCCATCTTTTCCAGGCACTTCTCAAGATGAAAGATGTGCCAATCTCTGGCAAGAGATTCAAAAAATGTATGAAGAAAGAGATTTTCCAGGCTGCAAAAGGCTCAAGAAGTTGACTGTCAAGGATATAGTCAAACCAAAGAAAGCTCAGTTTTGGATTGCAAGGCCCATGAAGTCAGGGATTTTTGCCCCCTTCTCGAACCATTGTGCAAAAGACAATGCCTGCATGAAGGCACCTGGCATGAGAAAGCTGTCTACAAAGTGGCCAAGTACTGCAGCCATATGTACAACAGTTTAGAAGCCTCCAACAAACAAGAACTGGTGAAGGCTGGAAGAAAATTCATCAGCCAGTACATGGCTTTAGAAGCAGAAGTCCAAGCCAGTGATGGCTCAGAGGTTCGATTGTGGAGATCAAAGCCCAAGCTCCACCTCTTGGCCCACATTTTGGATTTGGTTGAGCTTGGTAACCGTCCAAAAGACAGCTGGAATTATAAGGATGAAACATTTGCAGGGTCACTGCAAACTTTATTTTTTCGCAGAGGTGGTAAATTCCAGCCTGGCAAGGCTTCTGAAAAGGTCTTGCTGAGGTGGATGTCAGCCACTCCATTCCCTCATCTTGGACAAGCCAAGCCAGCAATGGCTAAATGAAATAGACAAAAGAGTGATGCAGCGCATAAATGTATCATGATGTTATATAAATATATAAGAATATCTATAGATATACATTTCCAGAAGCTATATTTTTTGACTTCTAGAAGCCTCTTTTTTTGGCTTCTAGAAGCCTCTTTTTTGGATTTCTAGAAGCCTTTTTTTTTGGCTTCCAGAGGCTTCTAACATAAAAAACCTGGAAGCCAAAAAAACAGGCTGGCAGACAACTTTTTGGAGCAATGAAAAAAAAGGTAGCTTCTCGGAAGCTAAGGGAGAGAAGGCAGAGGCCGCACAAGGTGATGCTCAAGTGGTTGCTGGCATGGAACTGACTGCGGCTCGAGAAGCCTGTCGAGGACACGCTTTAGAACTGCGGGAAGTGTGTCGTAGATTGGCCGACAGACATGAACAGAGCATTGAAGCGGAACTGCAACTTCTGGAAGGACCGCGGACGCCGGATGCCAATGTGTTGGAAGTGCGGGCGGGACAGCTCCTGTCCATGTTCCTTCCCGAGTCTTGGTGTTTGGCTTTCACGGAATTTTTCTTCGGAGATTGCTTACCTTTTGATCAACGCAGACCTGTGCGGATTGCACCAAGAGCGCTCATGGCATGTCTTTTGAAAAGAGAAGAGTTGGAATATCACCTTGCAACAGACGCCGTTCCATATGCGGCGCGGCCAACGTCCAGGTGGGACAACGCGGAGGTGACAGCCATGTTTGCGGATACCGTGCGACGTCAAAGCTTGCTTCTCGCTACAAAAATGACGTTTCTCAGTCACAAGTCTTTTCAGTTAGACCTGCAAGCAATCGCAAAGGCAAAGGCCGAGGATTTCCAGGCTCTGCAACGATATTCCACGCTGGGTCAGGCTTATGCGAGTGCTGGCAACAGGGATGGACCAGCCATGAAAGCGCTGAAGCATCTGCTGACCAGCACTGCTGTAGTCCCATTGACAGAAGGGAACAAAATGAAACTACGCCATTTCGGACATGCGATGGACATGACCTTCGGCCCGCTCAAATTATTTTTGACATGTAATTTCGCTGATACCTACATGCCTTTGACCATGACAGTGTTCGACCCAAGCAATATGGAAAGACTGTGCGAGACTCAGTGGGATCTCTTGGCAGAACGACCTCTTTTGCCTGCTTTACAGCACATGCATCGGGTCGTGGCCAGATCGCCAGTGACGCAGGCCCGAGTGTTTTTGCTTATGGAAGAAATCATTCTGACACAGATCCTCGGCGTGCACTCAGCATACATCGGGCAACATTGTTTCGATGATCCTGACATGCCGTCGCGGTTGCGCGTGGCAAAAGATGACCATATGGCGTCCAATGCCTCTCTCGGCGTTGCCGATTTTGTAGAAAGTTTGTTGATGCCGTTGGAGGCGCAGGGCCGTGGCTTTGCTCATGGACACAAAAAGGTCATTAGTCTGCCCAATGATTCTGCCGCCAAACTGCAGACATTGTTTGCAAAGGATGGCCTCGCAATGCAAGCAGCCGTGAAACAGATGCGACAACAGATTGTGGACGCTGTGAGTGTGGTGCAGTATGACACAGCAACGCTTCCTGCTCAACAACTTGGCGTCGCAGTTCCACCAGAACCTTTCTCGCGACAACAGCAAAGACACAGCCGCTTAGATGGAGGCCGATGAGGGAGTTCATGATGCATGTGTCCTTCAGTTCAATGTGTTTGTAATGGATTCTTTTACATGACGTAAGCTGGACAAGGGATACATGAAGAGATGTAGATTGTGTGACGAGGTTTAACTATTCTGATGGTTTTGCAGATCACCATAATAGTATACGAGCAACCAACGCTTGTATGCATTGTGCATCGGCTGTCTTGGCCGTTGTGCAGGCGTAGAAGAGTCCGGCGATCATCGGATGCTTTTGGAGGTGACGGAAAGCGAACCGCCTGGACATATTGCGTTGGAAAAAGAAAAAGCTTCGCAAGAGCAGCGACCACCAAGACATGGTTACAAGGATGTACCGTTGACGGGCTGTCATCAATCTGTCATGCCTCTCTATCGCTTGCCGGGTGCTTTTGGAACTATATGCGAGCCAGATGACCGGGGACTTTTCCGAGAGCCGCCGGCTGCGGTTGCGCGCCCAAGCAAGGACCATCTGCTGTTGCGATCAGATGCGCAGCCGTGGGTTTTGGACGGTTGTCGTCGGGTCGTTGGTTTGCGGTTACCTACTGGACGTGTTGCGCAGTGGGAAGATACGTGTGCAGATGCAGAAGCTTGGGCAAGGGCATTTGGAAAAGATGTTCGAGGTCTCTTTTGTCAAAACCATGACCACAACTGTGTCGCGACCTGTGCAAAATATGCTGCAAAACACATGGGAGATGAGACAGGCGCACCTCGGAAAACGAAGGCTTTGGATCCTCGCTCCTATTGTCGGTTTTTGTTTGTTCGTGTCGTGGAGCTGAAGGTCGGGGACAAGCTGAAGCGTTTACTGCGACGAGGGAAAGAATTGGTTCGGAAAGCGAGTGTGTTTTACAGCAATACTCGCAATGAATACGGACGCGTGCAAGTAGTTCGCAGACACCCCTTCAGATCCACTTCCAATGACCTGTGTCAAGCTTTTGCACGTTGTAATGTGGATTTGCAACGAAATGATCGCGTCGTACCAAGTGAGGCGCCGGAGTTCAGCCTAGTCGATTTGAAGCCTGTGCAGTTCTTCTATGGACACGCTCGATTGTCTGCGGATGCGCGGCATATCCTCGCATGTTTGGCAGAAGGGGTGCGAAGCTCGCACGTGTGCGATTTCTACATGACCAAATATCTCGCCAAGGGTCAGCAAGTTCTTGCAAGTGCCATTACTCCTGTTCTGCACGGCTTGGAACGTTTGGATGCAGAGATTACAGCAGGGAAAAAGATCTTGGGCACCACCGAGGACCTAGCGCGTGCCAAATTGCGGCGGATTTTGTTTAGCGCCAACCGCTCTCATTGGTTTTCCTCTTGTGAGCTTGCAATCTTCGTCCTGACTGGTGGGCACAGCGTTGCCACACACATCGACCGTCCTTTGTTTTTGAGCAAGGTTTTTTACTTGCTGGAAGAAGGCAAACGCCTGTGGAACGGAGCACTGGCCGGCGATTTCGTGCAAGAGGCGGCTCGTCCAGCTGATGTGGACGTGGTACATGTGGTTCCATTGCCGAGAGAATCTACCAAACGTTCTGCGGAGCGCAGTTCCTTGGAACAGGACGGTTGTCACTCCGAAGACAAGAAACGACGGATTTCCGAGTCGAGGTCTACAGCCGCAAGTGGTGAACATGTTGAAGGAGATGGTGCGGTTGCGGTGGATGCATCATGTCTTGAAGTTGCGAAGACTGGAGATGAAGCATGTGTGGGTGCACCGTGTTGTGAGCGCGTGGACATGGAGCCGGAACAACCTGGTGTTCGGATGTTTCGCGCCACTGCTTCAACCTTCGATGATTGGCTGCATCGTGGATTCTTCCTACAAGATTTGAATTTTCACAGTTATGTCGCGTATATTGAAATCGTTCCTCGCCAACAGGGTAAGTTGGGCGATTGTTTCCTCTTTGATGAGCATTATCTGAAAGCAAAAACCTACTGGCAGCGGTTGGCTCCTCGTATGGCCGTGCCACGCGTGGTAGGCGCAGCTTGCAGTCGCACGGACGTAGGGAATGGTGAAGAAAACGCTCGCTACAAGTTGACCCTGTTTGGATTGATGCGTTGTCCCGGAGTGGGTGCCTGTGCTGACCCTGTGAGTTTGGCTGCAGCCTATGTGTGTAGCCAGCAGACTCAGGATATTCGATTCTCTCCTGCTTGGCGTCTTCGACGCGCAGAAGTGGAAGTTTTGGCCACTGAAGCTGATCGGAAAATTCGCATAGCGAAGAAGTTACCCACACTGGCAGATACCACGACGTTTCGCTGTCTGGAAGGTAAAGGTTTCACTTGGTGTCACATTTTGGTTTCCCAAGCTCTGTACCATGGACATAACAAACATGTCTGCGTCGGAACGCAAAATTTCCAGAAGCTTGTAGTCTGTATTTCTGCTTATTTGGCACCAGTCGCGGATACATTCGCGGCGGAACAGTTACATCTGGCTGAGTTTGTTGCGCATAGAACACGGGACATGGTGTTCCGCTTGGACATGCATACAGAAGCTCGAAACACTGCCATTCAGATAGCCAAGGACAAGACGACCGCGAGTGTCGAAGATGATACCGCATCTGTTCGTTCGGATGATCAACAGATCATGGTCGAGATCGAAAATGTCGGTGGTGAACCCGACGCTGTCGAAGATGACCGAGTGGGTGAAGCGAACGTGGAGCGACCCATGGCAGGAGGCATTGAACTCATGACGCTCCTGCCGCAGGACTGCTATGTCTCAAACTCTTATTCTTTTTTACCTCTTCGGGTTTGTTGGTTGCTATGTTATGATGTCTTGTCTGTGTCCATGGCTTGATCGATATATTATAAGCGTCCAATGGTTCCTCTGTCGTGAATAAATTGCGTATAGTTTCATGTAGACACTGATGCGTATACATCAATATATGTACAGAGAGAGAGGTCATGAGACATGAGATGCACATGACGTGGTCTTCAGAAGGAACAGCATGACAATGGTATATGTTACCCACATCGCTTCTTCATCTGTAGGATCCAGATGCCGTGCGAGCACATCTGCTGCATGTCTCAGAGTTGGAATCCGCAAAGCAGCGTGGCACCCGGACTTCGGATGCAGTGCGCTTCATGTTGGAAGTGGAGAAAGCATTGAACACAAAAGTGGCACTTTGCCATGAACACTTTCCCGTGGAGGACTCTGGAGGATGGATGCCACAAGCGTCCGTTGAGCTTTTGTTGTCTGCTCAGCAACAACATGTGGAGTTCTATCGCAAAATGGATTCAGCAGATGACGCAGCGGAGGAGGCGACCGTTGCGGTTGCACACGCAGAAGAAGAAGCGGTTGTGCGCTTGGTGGCGGCGGATCTGCGACTGCGCGGTCCGGCGGCGGTGGCGAAAGTGTTGGCCGACAGAGCCACTTTGAACCGCGATCAACTTGGCTTCGTCGCCATTGTTGCAAAAATTCTGCAAGATGCCTTTGAATCACTTCCGCCAAGTGGCGATGGTATGCTCGCCAAGGATCGTGTTCTGTTGCGATGTCTGCTGGTTGGAGGCGGTGGATGTGGGAAGACTCGGATCATCAACATGGTTTTAAGACCGTTGTTTGAAGCAGTCTTTGGTGATGGTTCCATGCAAGCGCAGGCGCCTTCGAACAAAGCCGCTCGTCAGATTCATGGCCGAACCATGCACAGCGCAAACAAGCTGCGCAAAGATTCATCTTTGCGGACCGTGCATTTGCGTGTTTCCGCAGAGACACGGAAGGCTTTGGAATGCAACACTGTCCCGCTGGCTGCCATCGTCATCGATGAATTCTCTCAATGCATTGGTCAGATGCTGCATGCGGATGCGCTGCGGAAGTCTTATGGTCGGCAAAGGGCCCTGGGGCTGGAGCTTCATCGTTATGCGGAATTGGACGAGAGCTGGGGGCGTATGCCGGTGGTCGTCATTTCTGGGGATGAACTGCAATTACCTCCTGTTCCTTTTTCGCATTCCTTGCTTGCCAGTGTGGATGGAACCAGCGATGAACATAAAGCCGGCGTGCATCTCTTCGGTCAATTCCGTTATGTGTACCGTCTGCAGACGGCCATGCGTTTCCAGGATCCAGTTTTGGAATGTATCCTGAGGAAAATGCGAACTCCGGGTGGTGCGTTGTTGACGCAGAGCGAATGGCAGGCGTTGGTGAATACCAACATCAGTGGATCCGGCGACAGCGCTCGCTTGTCCGGCACTGAGCATTTTTTCCAAGCTTGCTACACTTGGTCTGTGGTTAGCATGGCCTATACCATTCGCAGTTTTGAATCAGCAAAAGCAGCGGGCAAGACCTTGTATGCCACTCGTGCTGTTGACATGATCCAAAATCTGCAGGCCGACAAAGCTGTTGCTATCGCCCGGGCTGTGGTTGCGCACCCAAACATGAACGAGACCGGACGGATTCCTCACTATGGTCTCTATCACGTTGGTATGGAAGTGCGCTTCACTCAGACAGTCGCTGCTCCTCATGTGGTGGTAGATACAATTGGAATCATTCGGGGTTTTGCGTTTGCTTCGGAGGATCGGAGTCGCACTGATTTGCATGCATCTTTCGTCGTTTTGCGACGCTTTCCGGAAGCTATTTATGTGGAGCTGCAAGATGTGCCGCAGAAATTTCTGCCCGATGAAGCCTGTCTTGAACATACACCGCACATGGACGCCGAGTGTGCTGCATGCTTGCGGATGCGTGGCGTGTTTTTGGTGCGACCATTTACGAATCAACAAGGTTGGTCGCTGAAAGTGACGATCCCTGGATCCCTTGCTACTGGTACAGAAGAAGAGATCTCTGTCAAGATTCGTAGGACGCAGATTCCGTTGGTGACTGTGAAAGCCAGTACTTTGCATGTGTTGCAAGGTACAACGACAGATCCTGGTTTGATCTTTCATTGGCGCTTCCCTCGTCGACTCCAAGCAGACATGAGGTGGTTGGCTGCATATGTGGCCTTGTCACGTGTGCGCTCCTTGGATCGTCTGCGATCTGTCGGTCTCGACAGTAAGATTCGTGCCATCTTGGAACAAGGACCTCCAAATACTTTGCCTGCCAGATTCCATGTTTTGTTCTCGGACAAAGAATCCGAGACACAAACCTTCGCAAAGGAATGTCTCAGACTTCTTCGATGGTGACCCTCATGTCACCAGATCACCTCCAGTACCTGAAGCAAAGAGAGGAAAAGTAATCAAAAGAAATACTTCGCTTCGGTGTCGCCTTGGCTACAGTGGTTTCTTGGCTTCTACTCTACCTTTACTAGCTACAGGTAGTAGCTGTCATGAGAGCATTTGTGACTCTAGCTTTGTTACTTCTCTGACCTTCTTGTCTACTGAGATCGAGGTCTGCAACCTTTTCTGCATCGGGTTCATGTCCTTTTGATGGAGTTCGACTCGGATGTTGGTTTTGTGGCTCAATTTCTAATGCATCGCATAGGGACGCAGTGTTCTATGCATGGCTTGAACCTGTGTGAGTCCCACAAGTGTTGACTCTTATGACGGTCAAAGTCGAGAAACCGGGCGGAGGTGAAGATAGGCGTCGCTCTCCTTTGTCAGAACTGCAGGCCGCCGCGCGACACGGTCGGTTTGTGGTCCAAGTAAAGTTTCAAAAGGTGGAAGAGTACACATATACCCGGCAAGGCGCGCCGACCAAGGGAAAGCGGTTGCACGTGCTGTTTGCTAGCGCGGAAGAAGGTGCATATGTGTCTGGTCGCATGGTCATGTGGCAACAGAAGTCTGGCGAGTTGGAAGCTGCGGCTGCGCGCTTCCAGGTGGGTTTGCACTTCGAAATGAAATCTGTCGTCTTTCTCCAGAAAGAGGTAGCCGAATATATTCACACTCCGTTGAAAGTGGTTCTGGATCTGCGACAGACTCACTTCGATTCGGTTCTACAGGGACAATTTCCCAACTTTTGCCTGGGCCCACCGACACGTCTGAAAGACATTCTGGAGTTAACAGATGGTCGACAACGCTTCGATATCACGAGTCTCGTGCGGCTGCGCGGAGACCCGCGTACCGTAACCACCCGGCAGGGTCAACGTGTGGCGCAGGACATCGTGCTTCGAGACGAGTCTTGTGTGCAAGACGGACATCGGGCAGAGATCACCACGTCCATTTTCGCGGAATCACAAGCGAAACTGGAAGAATTTATTGCTTTGGTGAATCTGGAAAAGCCGTTGACTTTCTTTGGCTTCGATGTGCAAGTCCGTGGTGCTGAAATCAAGGTCACTCCATCTTTTCAAGACTTTCGCTGTGAAGTGGCTGTCTCCGTCCGTGCGGCTGCGCAGGACGAAAGACAGAACGAGATTTGGAAGGAAGCAGGGCAGACGCTGACGCATGAATGGCAGCCCTCGGTTTCTACGGACTACACAAGCAAAGAAGGCTTTTTATCCTTTTGTGCTTTGCTGGATGCGTATAGCCAACAAGACGCAGCTGCCTTGCATGGCAAGTTGTTTCAACTCAACAACATCCATGTGCCTTACCCACCGGAGCACCACACGGTGGAACGACGTGTGTTTTGGTCCACACGGATTCGAGATTGTAGCGGCAGCTTGGAAGTCGCCATTCGACAAAAGGCAGCCTGCCAGCTCGCCAAAATCGATACAGCTGATCACGAGAATGCCGTCATGGAGTTCAATAGTCAGCATGGCGGTGACCTGTTATCGTGGCCTTTGCTTGCCAGTGTCAAGATCTTGGTCACACTTCGTGGTGACAATGACTCTGGTGCCACACAGGCGACTGACAGCGTCTCCACGACGAGTTCCTCGAAGCGGATGCGCTTCTTAGTTGTGGAAGCTTCGGAGCAGGACCTGCAAGCGACGCCCACAAAGGCTGTGCTGGCCGTTGTTCATGCCTTGAGCCATGTGCCGTGCAGCGGAGATGCGTTTGCGGCTGCATTGCTGTCGCAATTGACCAAGAATAGTTTTGGCGTTTTTCAAGTGCAGCCAGAGGTTGTGGTAGCGCACCTGGAGACTGGTGCCTTGGAACGCCACGCTAAACGTCGCCGGGTTACTTGTGCGAAGGCCTTGGTGATGCTTCTTTCGAAAGAATGGACGCAGCAAGAAGCGTTGGGCTCAGACAGTTATGGCATTCGGTTGGTGACCAAGAATGTTCGCGACGCTTTGGCTCCAGATGCAGGCCCTGTGACTGTGGTGGCATATTGTCAGCGACATGCTTTGAAGGATTTCATTTTGGATCCTCCACGGACTGGAACCAAAACCCAATACGCTCTGGCATTGATCTCCGATCTGAGCACTACATCAAGTGAAACCACATATGTGGTGGAACAATTGCAGTTGCTGCAAGAAGGCGATGCAGAAGCTGCAATGATATGTCTGCGGCGTTTGGAGCAACTGACTGCCTTGATCGCTTCTCGTCAACAGACGTCGGATCCCCTACCAGCCTGGACAGACACATTGGCGGAGAGTGCCTCCCGCGTCGCTTGTCCACGCATCTCGGCCTATCCCGCAGGGGACACATGGGAGAGTCCAGTGAAGGCGTCCCAGGAGGTACCGTTCACGGCAGCTGACACCCCGGGCACAGGCTAGCTCATAGTTGTCTCCCTTCCGCTGTTGCTGCGACTGCGCGCAACATGGTTCTCTTACTACAGAATCTTTTTTGACTTTCCATGAGGCATCTGTTGCTCATGCGTCATTCTGCATGAACCTGTGTTACTCTGCGGCTGCGCGAGGCCGATGACTTTCTTCTCCTACCTTGAAAGATTGCCGGCCACGCCGCTGCGCGCTGGATATCGTGCACCTTGGATTGACGCATGCAACTGAAAGAAAATATGTGTTGCTTGCACTTCCTGAGTGTATGTTACGAACGCCAGCCTTCGTAGAAGACGCCAGCTGCGTTGTGTTTGCGAACGACGGGAGTCTTCTAGGGGGTGTGGGGGGGTAGCCCGCAAAAGTGCTAACTGAACTCGGAGCCTCCTGCTGAACCCCATGGCGGCCAGGGAAGGTTTTTGAGGTCGTTTTGGAGGCGATTTTTTTGTTCGTGTTTGTGGGGTGCATGGTGATGCACGGGATGCAACGAACGCTCAGTACCTCTGCGGGCAGTGTACCGCGCCACGCCCCAATCACGTAACACAGCCCTGCATCTTGATTGGCTGTTCTCACCAGGCCCCAAAGCAAGCAAGAGTTCTTGGACCCTTCCAGCTTCCTGTGTAGCCACAAGGACGTCAGCCTTCGTAGCAGACGCCAGCTCAGTTGTGTTTGCGAACGAGGTGAGTCTTCTAAAACATTGCGCCTGCCACGAAATTTACAAAGGCTCCGATGCCTTGCACCTGCCACGTAAAATGACGTTTTCAAGGCTCCAATGTGTCCAATTCCTTGCGCCTGCCGTTCTAGCAAAATTTGTCATGACATGTCATGACTAGTTAAGTAGATCTCTGGGGCCATGACACTCCAGCTTGGGACAAGCGGTACTGCCACTGTGACAGGTCGAGGAGATTTGCGTTCAGGCCAAATGCACTTCCTGTCCGAAAACGAGCACGGCACTGCACGAGAGCACCGCCCCGGAACAGCGGACAGCGTCCCCACCACTTTGTGCGAACCTGCGCAGTCGGACTGGACATGAGGAATTCACACAGTAACTTTTGCGCGGGCCAGTCAAAATGCTCCAGACGAACACGCTAACCCTGATCTAAACCCAGCCTTACCTCCTACCGTAAGAACCCCGACTCACGAGCACAAATACCCACATTGGCACGAGCACGGCGCCTGCATGACTGCACCTGCACCGCATCTTTCTTTCTAGCTGGTTCAAACCCGCTCGACAACCTGCTTCTCGCCTGCTTTCGTTCTGGACCCATGGCGCATGACGGAGCTCCGCACGCCGCGCAGGAGGCGCTGCCTCCTGTTGCTGCGTCTACATGGCTGGCCCCCGAGGCAGAACTGGGTGACTCCGTTGTGGCTGCACACGGGCATTCTTTGGCTTTCCACGCGTCCACAGCACCATATCCTTCGGTCCCTGTGGTCGATCTTACCGGCGCACACGACGCCTTGGTCTGCATGACAAAGCAACCAAGGGCTGTGATTACCATTCACACACGCGCCCTTCGCCGCCACGCGCCACGACAGGAGATGCGTTCTCTTTTACTTGAGCGGACGGCGTGGATCAATGACCATTGGTTTCCTGATCACTCCAATGAAGGATACTGGGAAGAGCTCTCCAATTCGGAGACATGTCCCTGGCACGATTTCATCGCGACCCTGCCAGAGGCGTCCAAGACCGTGGCGTGCGGTCCCACGGGCGTGGTGTGTTTTGGCATCGCCTCCTTCCCGGAGGAGTTGGACCCCAATACACACGCCCCTCGCGTGGACTTCCAGGTGTGGCAGCAGGATGGATGTCATGTTCGGTTGCATCCCGGAAAGAGTGCCGCTGGCGACGCTGAGCCTGTGGTTCTGTCTAGTGGTCCTGCGGTGACTTCGCGGAAAGCCTTTACTGCCAGGTTTCAGCGTCGTCTCAACCGCTGATGGCTTTCTGTGACCTTTCTTTTGCGTCTTCGCAGCGGCTGCGCGCGGACGGTTCCAAGTGCTTCCACTACCGCCCAGCCAGTCTTCCTGCTGGGCTTGGTATGTTGCTTGTGCTCGGATGGCTGTTGCGGCTGCGCACAGCTAACTTCGCTGTCTCGCGTGACGTCGTGAGGGTTTTGCTTGCTTGTACTCGGATGGCTGTTGCGTTTGCGCACAGTTGGCTTCGCTTTCTCATGTGACACCGTGAGGGTTTTGCTACTTCTTCTCTGCGTGCGGCTCTTGAAAAAGCACAATTCCGCTGCTCGGGTGGGCGCGCTTCTACTTTCGTACTGTCTGACTGCTACATTCTTCTATAGTCATTCCAAAGTATTGAAGTAGTGCTTGAGCATGATTCATGGCTGCTTCGTTCACGGGCGCTCCTTCCTAACTGCTGTCTTAGACCGCTCTTTTGGGATTGCTCTTTTGGATCACCACGACTCCATCACTACACCAAAGTCACTCTCACGGAAGAGCCGAGCCTGATGGAGATTCCTGTGGCACTTTGGACTTTGGCCAACAAAGCCACTGCCGGGCGGTTGCTGCTATCAGTGGTGGCGGTGCTGGTGGTACTGCTGGTGGGGGTGACGGTAGTGGTCGAGCCAAGAGCTTCCTTAACCTATGTGCTCTCAGGTTGGTGCTTCTATGTGCTGTCACACTTGTGCTCTCATATGAGTGCTCTGATGTGCTCTCATATGGGTCTTTTCCTATGTATACTCTCATATATGTGCTTCTATGTGTGCTCTCATCTGTTTTTTTAAATCGCTGGTTCAATCCCGCACTGCTTCTATATGTGCTCTCATGTTTTTTTTGACAGCTGGTTCAAACCCGCTGGCACATTGTTTTAGCTGCTTGGGATCCACTTTCTTTCCATAGCGCCGCTTGGCTTCAGCTTCGGATCCCCTTGTGTCCGAACGTGTGCGACCAAGATGGCGCAACAACAAGATGATTCCACGACCTCTCCGGATTTTGATCCGTCTACTTCCGCATCGCCTTCCCCGCCTCGAGCTGCGGCTGCGCGCTCCGCTCCTGGCGAGGGGCAAGAGGCATCTCTCGCCGCATCTGCCTCATGTTCTCCACTTCCACGTCGGCCGAAGGACAGGTCTGTGGCGGAGGCTGTGTCTCCTTTTTCTCCCCAGGGAGTTGCGGATGCGCGCTCCAGAAGTCCTAGGCGCCAGCCATGCAGACAGGATGTTCACGATGCGCCAGCCGCCGCCGCTGCAGATGCACGCGGTGAGTCTCGTCCACAGAGACAGGAAGCAAGTCGTTCGCACAAAGCTTCTCGTCGCCCCGGAGTTGCGGGTGCGCACTCCATGCATCGCGGCCGAGCACACGAGCAGGATGACCACAGAGGAAGCCAAAGCCCACGTAGCCGTAACAGTGTCACTGGTGGTGATGGAGTTGCGGCTGCGCACTCCGCTGGCGTGCGTCTGACGCAACCTCCCGTGGCCATCGTTCAACAGGAGGGGCGTACTTTCATGCCCGTGCCCGCGTATATAGACGAACCACTACCAGAAGAGATGCCTGACAGCGCCCTGGCCTGGGATGGCGAGCGGTATTCACGGGAAGAGTTTTGTGAGTACTATGGCGATGCGGTCCTTTTCTATCAGGCGCAGCAGCTGACGTACTTCTGCAGACAGTATCTTTCCACCTGGTTTGACTACTCGCGGCAGCAAGAAGACCACACGGCTTTGCACCTGGTCTTGCGTCTGCTGAAGCGACAAGAGCTGCGAGACAATCTGGCGCTGGGTGACATACTGCTCCGCTACTGGTATCGTGCGATGGTTCTTCGCGTTGAATATCTGGGAGCTGGACCCGATGGCCATCTATGCACGGACGCCGAGTGCCAAGCAATGGATCGGATGGTGCTGCAGTGGGCTGTCGACTATGACACCGGTGAGCGTCCCGCAATGAAAGCGCGACAACTGCAGCGTCTCTATTGGCAGAAATGGTTTGGTCACAAAACGCTTGCCCTCACACTGGCCCAGAATGGGGTCCGCCATTGGATGCGTACTCACCTGGCGCTCCAGACGGTTGCACAGGTCCACGACAGTGATGCATTCCGAGCTGCGGTTGCGCGCTCGCGTGGGGAATACACCGACGACACGCACCCATTCCAGCCTACCACAGGAGAGATTGGGGTCTGGCGTGCCCGACTTTCCTGATGTCACGGCGTCAACTGCAGTCACCGGTGCTGATCCTGTCTGCCTCCGTGCCGCTTTTCCGCTGCGGGTGCGCGCGGAAGGCATCCAAGCAATTCTGACCTCGTCTCGTTTTACATCACTGCTATCTGTTTCGGGCTGAGGCGGAAAATCAAGTGTGGCTGCTCAGTTTTTCGAGCTCACCGTCTGATTTGAATCTGACGCTTGAGTTGCATGAACGGTTTGCATGGTTTTCATGGCATGTCGGTTGCATGTCAGACAAGGTTTCCAAGGGGTTTCTTTGTTCTTTTTTTATTTTTCCTCCTCGCTCTGAACGTCTCTGCTCATACATGCTTTTCATGTTTCAGGAATCAACCACCAAGACTCATGTATCACATGTTTCAAAAATCCACCACCAAGACTCGTGTATCATCATGGCGGTTTGTTCCTCCACAGTGTACCTCTTCCTCACTATGTCATACACTTTGACACCCGCATCCGTCCTTTTCTGCCCCCGCAATGGCGACCCTCCGTGTCTCTCCCGCTGCTCCCTCTGCGGCTGCGCCTGCCACCTCTTCGCGGACATCCGGTCCTGCTGCGCGTCGCAGTGTGGCTGCACCTGCAGCGCCTATCTTTGCAACATTGCGACTGGCCTTTTACAACGTTGGCTTGCAAACGGCGCAGCTGCAGCCAACTGCGCCACGCTGGACAGAATACATGAGCCGACTGTGCAACGATGTGCGCAGAATCTTCTCGGACATTCCAGATCTCGCCATACTGCATCTTTGCGAGTGCGGAGGCCATGGTGCCAGCGTGCCTCCAGCAGTGCGGATGCGCCTGCAAGAAGGGTGCTCCTTCTGCAACATCCTCTTTCAGGACAACTATGTTCTT